TGATGAGGTTATCCACTTGTCCTCCGGAAAAGATCTTCATGGCCACGGCATTTATTGTTATTCGGCACTGTGCTACTTTAACTGACAATTGCTTGGTCATGCAACACTGTACTCAAATGAAATTTATACAATTGTTTACACACAAATAGAGCTTTCTTTTGGTGGTATTTGATCACCGCTGGGTTTGTTATTTTTTATTATATAAAATGAAAAGACTGAAAATTTAGAAAAACAATATTTTTTACTTTTTGCTATAAAACATATCCCCTAAAAAAGGTTTAAAAATCTAAATGTATTCATAAATATAGGCCAAAATGTATTCTGGCTCATGTATTTGGTTAAAAAAAAAATATATATATCAATAAGTATTATTAATTGGTTTACATGAAAGTTAGAACATTTACAAATGATGGTATATATACTGGATTTTTTTTTTATACTAGCAATGGCAGCGATCTATAGTGGGACTGTGATAGTACGGCGGGCAATCTGACACTGAGTGGAAACTGACTGACACGAACATCACCAGTGACACCAATACAGTGATCATGGCTTTAAAAAAAAAAAAGCACTGACACTGTACTAATGACACTGGGTAGGAAGGGGTTAACATCTGGGGAACTCAAAGGGTTAACTGTGTGTCTAGGAAGTGTTAATGTGTGTACTGAATTTATTGAGGGATCTTGTTTTTTCTTATCCCTGCTTAGCAAGGAATAAAAAAACAGGAAGATCACCTGTCATTGTACAGAGCTTTGTGATGTTCACCATCACAGAGCTCCGTCTGTGAATCACTGAGCAGATCAGCGTGTCTCGGTGGTCAATCATTGGCCGGGACCCGCTGATCGGCTTGTGCTGTAATGAATCACAGCACAGCCAGGTCAGCGGGCATGTGCCCTACCCAGAAGAGCTGATTACACATCTCTTCACCTCAATTACATGGGGGTCAGGGTAATTGGCAGATTACTAGGAAGGCAGGGAGAAAGCTATTCTTCTGTGCATCTCACAGGAAGTGACAACGACACACAATTTCTGGCAGGATCAACCAGTATTTTCTGTTTTTGCGAAAAATGTTTAGCCTGAAAAGAAAAAGAAAAAGGCAGTTGGCACATCAAAGGACTGTATGCTGCAATATGTGTGTCCCTCCAGCACAATACTAATGTTTCGCTGAGAGAAATGCAAGTTATGAAGGAAAAGACTATCTAAAGAAGAGCCAGAGCCCTCCATAATTTACAATTTTGTATCAATAATACCATTTGCAAGTATAATGGTAGAGATACATGACTTCCAGTAAACGTCAGTGTTTGTCTGCTAAAGCTTTCACTGTGATCTTTCCTTTAGCAGCACCAAAGAGGATCTGTCAGTGTCAAAAGGGGTGATATATATGGGTATATAAAGGGTTAATGTGTATGCGAAGTTGAATGGAGTAGGTCAGAACTCCTTGCATTTTTGTTCTCTGTGTATCTTGGCGAGAAATTTCCATTCACTTCCTGTACCAAAGACACAACAAGAAGAGGAGATCTCTCCAGAGGGAAATTTGTTTGATCAATGGAAGACTTCCCCTCACCTGCTGTTCAAAAACATTTAATCTTATCTGTCACAGGGCACAGATAGCGATTAACCCCCTTCCCACCTAGCCCCGGAGTCCCTTTAAAAGAGAAGTGTGGGATTTAGAAAAAAGAAAAAAAAAAAACCCCATCATACTCACCTAGGTAGATGGAGTATCTGTCTCCTGCCGCCTCTAAGGCTCCATGTACACTGCAGTTGATGAACTCACGTTTAGGAGCTTTTCTGCGTTTTTTTCAGCAGCCCCTGAACTCTCCCTAATGCTTTCCTATGTGTCCATGTACACATCGTCGTTTACAGGCAGTTGAATTTACAGTCGTTTTTTTGAACGCACCAAACTCGTGTTCAGGAGTAGATTTTATCAACATTTCAAACGCGAGGAAACGCGGTTAACCACGTTTGGAAATTTTTTTTTAACTGTTCCATTTATAGATGCTGTCCAGAGCCTTTTTTCATCATGAAAAATGCATGCAAAGCATTTTCCCCGTACTCAAATGGACCTGGTACACCATACTTTGAGGTTTTGCATGAAAAAAATTATGTTAGACACTGCTGCAATAATTTCTGCACAGAAATGAGCTGGAACACATCCAAACACCACAAACAAAACAAAAAAAGACAGATAATCGCAACAAATACTGCTCTCTCTGCTTCTGCTCTATATTTTTCTCAAAATGTGTGAAATAGATAATTACTGTCTTCAGTGCATTCTAGGCATTTTGGAAGGTCTCCTGACGTTATCTTTAAAAAACGCTTCTAAACGCAAACGCTCATAAACACGTTATGCAAACGCGGCTAAACAGACTTTTTTTAACCTACATTTTCCAGCAGTCAGTTTCCGTCATTCAGAAGTGTTTTCCAAATGTCCCCTGTACATGGAGCCTAAGACCCAGAACTGAGCGATCAATGACTGCTGACCGCTTAATTCTCAATCTCTTCAGTGAGAAGAGCTGTGACTGTAAGTCACCGCTCTCTGCTCTGCCTCTCCAAAACTCACTGGAGTGCCAGGCTGTGGAGGGGGAGGGAACGGCTAGCTCAGGCTCTCAGCAGCACTCTCGAAGGCTGAGCCAGATGCTAGTCAGGCATCTGGGTGAATCTCAACATTATTGTCGGGATCCCTGCAGAGCCTGAACCAGCCCTGTGACATCAGCTGTTAGCTGAATCTGAGGTCACAGGAGTGCAGAACAAGAGCTTTGGTCCTACCTCTCCTGTAAGTAGGTCGTTACACCTAAGGGGTGGGATACACTTCTTGACCATGCTACCACTGTGATTGGCTGTAACAGTGGTCACATGGTCAGGAACTTGACCAGCCAACTACCGATCATGAACAAGACCTGTCCATGACTGGGAGTTCACAGAAACCCCGGCAGGCCATGGACATATATGTGTGGCCTGTAGGTGGTAAAGTCACACATATGCATTACATGGAAGGCAAGAGGATAAATAGGACAGGGGTACCAACATTTCCATATTCTGTCCAAAACTAAAGGAAAAACACTTTAACCCCTGGTTCACATCTGTGCGGGTGGTGCCACTGCAGGACCCACACAAATGCCTGCAGCAGTACCACCCACACAGTGAAATGCGGACCCACAGGTGGCGTACATTAATTCTAAATGGCACGCCGCCCACACTGGAAATCGCAGCTGTACTGGGAAACTCGATTCCCATGCGGGCTGCAATTTCCTATGGCGCAGGGACTTCTTCCCCCTTTTTTTTTTTTTTTTACGCTTTTTGGTTCCATTTTTTACCCCAAAAACGGATCAGAGTTAAAGGGCCCAAAGAGTTACTAAACCCAGCACCTGCATTCCTTTTATCTGGTCTCCCACAGTGCACAGAACATGGAGTGCAATTATTTTAGTAAAAATAAGCTGCTAAATACCTTTTCTCATCAGAAGTTCGAGCAGTCTTTTGACTTCTTTCAGTGTCCAGCAGAGCACTGGTTAAAGTTTGTAGGAGGAGTTTTCTTTTGTAGGAGGATGCAGAACCCCTGTCCTTCTGCCTAGACAGTGTTGATTGACCCTGTGCTGATCATATGCACTCTTCCAAGAAAAAAAAAAAAACCTCTCTAGCAATACACACCAAAACGGAGCATGTGCAGCTTGTTCCCAGGGCTCTGTTCTTCTAGCAGATGGATTGGGGACAGTGGAAAAAGGGGAGGATCAGAGAAGTCAAGATTAAACAATCTTTTTACACAATGCAGAGGATAAACCCCTCAGGTTGCACAGTGGGTATAGAAAAGCCCTGTATAAAAAGGTTAGAACAGCAAGGTACCAGTTCTAATTTCCTTTATAGTCAGGAAACACAAACCACAAAAGTAAACCCGCACTTCCCATTCCAACTGACAGCTGCTCAAATAATGTTTCTCCAAACCATTCTTCCTACTTTTTATCAATCTTTGGATAAAATGTTAAAAGTGAACACAAAAAAGTTTTTTTTGTGCAAAATCAGATGCAAGTTAACTCAGAGTATAAGAAAATGTTTTGGAATAAAAGAAGCTCCGGCAATGAAATGGTGCTGTGCCTGCGTGCCTGTGTGAGTGGAGGCAGTGTTATCCGGCACCCACTGGCTGTTATAAGTACATGTTTCCATCTATCGCTGTGCAACACTTCTACTGAGAGCTTCCTGATTACTAGGCTTGTGTACTGATATGTATAGAGAGCTTTCAGAACACAGCAAAGGGTTCATGTTTAGGGCTTGTTCACATCATGTCAACACAGGAGAATGTAAAAAACAATTCTCTCCATGCCATACATGTGCGCTGCAAAAAAATGCAGCATGTATGCATTTTTATGCAATGGAACTATCACTATAATGTATAAACTAGCAAAGAAAAGAAAAAAAAAAAAAAAAAGAAAATAAAAAAATAAATACATACATATATATATATATATATATAAGTAAAAATCCGTTGTAACAATTTATCCTACATGTAAAAAGATGCAATCCGTTGTAACCCCCCCCGACACACCAAAATGTACCCACAAAGCTGCCAGTACCATTTTCTATAACACAATACACAATTCATGTAGTTACTGTGTATTGACACACTGCGACACATGTGTCATGGCAATGCGTGTTGTGGTGCCACCTATTGCAGTGCAATGATGTGAATGGAGACTTAAGCAGGCCATACATGGGTCGAATCCCGAATAATTTTTAGATCGAAAATCGAAAACATCGCTCGTTCTGTAATCCAAAGGTGCCACCAATGATTTCAAAAATTGGTTGTTTTTCGCAATTTTCCAGCATGCCCGATAAACGAAATGGGGAGGAACCACGAAAATCGGCCGCTGCCATTGCCCCACTAACAGAGCGAAAATTGTCCAATTATTCTAAGGTCCGATTTTCGAAAGAAAAATCATTCGAAAATTGACCCATGTATGGCCGGCCATAGGACACTCATAAAGTGTACCTTAACACGTTACTAAACCCAGGACCCTGCATTCACTATATCTGGTCTCCCACAGTACACACAACATGGAAACACAATTATTTTAGTAAATATAAACTGCTAAATACCTTTTCTCATCAGCAGTTAGAGCAGTCTTGTGACTTCTATCAGTGTTCAGCAGAGCACTGGTTAAAGCTTTTAAGAGGAGTTTCATTCTCCGCTGATTGTCCTGTGAGGCTGCAAAACCCCTGACCCTCTGTCTGGACAGTGCTGACTGGCCCTGTGCTGATCACATGCACTCTCCCAAAAAAAAAAAAAAACTCCTCTCTAGCAAAGCACAGTTCCCCAATGTTCTTTTTGTGAATTGGTGCCCAAAACTGAACTGCATATTCCAGATGAGATCTTACTAATGATTTGTACAGGGGTAATATGATAAATTTCTCTCTGGAGTCTATACCTCTTTTAATACAAGAGAGGATTTTGCTCGCTTTAGAAACCGCAGCTTGGTATTGCATGCCATTATTAAGCTTGTGATCTACCAGAACTCCCAGATCCTTCTCCACCATTGATACACGGGTATCCATTTTTCAACCGTAAACGGACAGATGAAAAATGGACGTATGGAACGCCCGTCTGAAAGAGGCCTTAAGCATCAGGGCTACACGCCCAGTTTATATGAGGCCTCATTATTATACAGGATTTATATAGCGCCAACAGTTTGCTCAGCGCTTTACAATATAACGGGAGACAATACAGCAACAATGCAGTTCAATACAAGAGGGTTAGGAGGGCCCTGCTCCTTGGAGTTTGAGAACGCTTTACTGAATAAGGCCCTTTTCACATGGGCGATCCAATCAGGTCCAGCTGTCAGTTTTTCAGGCAGACCTGATCAGATGGTCAGTTTACACCCGCCTACCTCCAATCCGGTAAAGAGAAAAAAAAAAAAAAGGAAAAATTATAGAAGGGGATCCACCCTCTTCCATCTAGGCATATCAAATTGGGGCAGTCGGTTATAAACAGCCAGCCATCCTGTTTACACCTGACCGCCCATAATGCAAAGTGGGCTGTGTCTGCATAAACTGAGCGTACCCGGACCTGTCATCAGCCCACCCGGCTCTGGTAAGAGGTTTAGTGGACAGATCCCCTGCTGAGCAAAGCGGATTCCGCACCCCGTGAAAGGGATCTTAGCCTGGGTTCACATTTCTGCGCTGCAGCATATCGCATGTAATTCGCATAGGAAACGCACCACATTCCTGTGCAAATCACATGCAAATTCTGTGCCGTGCGATTGAAGCTATACATTTTGTATGGCTCAAATCACACCGCATCCGTGCCAAAATGGAGCAGGACCCTTTTTTTGGTCCGCACTAAAATCGGATCGCATGGGTATGCACACCCATGTGATTCGATTCTGCAAATCGCATTTTGCGAAACGATTTTGGGGTGTTGTTAACTTAACATACACACTCACACCGGTTTGCATGAACAGGGTGCGATTGTGATGCAGTGCGGAATTTGCACGGAAATTCTGCACCTCATCAGTGTGAACCCAGGCTCAGTCCCACCATAGATTAAAATACTAATAATCATAACATAATTTACGGAAAAAAAACTGAAACAAAGTTTCCATATAAAAGTACACTAACACCCCGGTCGCACTGGGTGTGACTTGGCATGCAATTTGCATGCCATGCGACCTGCAAATCGCATGCCAGATCGAACCCTATTGTCCGTGGCCAAATTGGTGTTTTTCTGACTTGGTTGGAGTCGCACCAATTGCTAAAGTAGTACATGTACTACTTTTCGTGCAATTTGCATAGACATTGTGTCAGATGTCTTCCAAATCGCACCTGAAATCGGCATGTCCCCCGAATTTGAAATCATGCGACTTCACTGTAAATCACACAATTTCAAAGTCGGGCTTGATGTGACCGGGGGATAATCCACATTTCTCTGGCTCAGTTTCAGTTTATCGGGAAGCTGCTGGTAGAAGATGAAGACAGACAGGAATTTGCAAGCCTGGGTTTGTCCAACAGGCCTAGGCAAATGACATGGGAGGGTCATCAGACAGAAGATCTCAGATGACAGTGTGAAGGAATTCCCAGCCTTTTATTTACAGACACTTCTTCTGTGTGTACAGTACACACACACACAGGTCATCATGCTGATAATAAATACAGTTGTGATTTCCCTTACAGAATGTTGTGAGCAGCAGACAGGAATGGGGAATCCCCAAAGCAATGTTTTATATACAATGTGATAATAAAGTATAGACATTGTGCAGTCTACCAGGGTCTGATTCCCCAATCCACATATCTGATCAGTCCTCCAGCTGATGGCCTTTGATCACTGAAGTCCAGCCAGGGAAACCCACACAAGTAACATCAATCAGCTCCTGGTGCTGAACTAGATGCAAATAAAATACGATTTTGCACCTCTGGCTGGATGCTAACTGCATTTCATTGGCTCTGTGCATGTACTGTGCACAATGACAATAAAGTTGAATCTAATCTTTTCAAGTTTTTTATTTCCCTCAGCAATTGTAAACCATCTAACACCCCCCCCCCCCCAATCACCCCAACAACCCCTGTCACCTATCCTTCCCCCATCAGCTGTTGTCCACCTGCCCCTACCCACAGTTGCCAACACCCCTGTTCACTGTCACTATGCTCCCCCCTCTCCTCATCAGCTGTCACTCAGCTCCGCTGTCCATGGACACACCCAACATCCCCATCCACTGCCACCTTGTCCCCCATCTACTGACACCCAGCCCATGCCCATCAGACAGCTCCTGTTGGTGTCAAAGCAATACAATCCCCCCATCCATACTGCAATGTCTGATACTTTGTATCCTCTGTATACACTGATACTGGAATACATGATCCATACTGCAATGTCTGATACATTGTATCCTCTGTATACACTGATACTGGAATATATGATCCACAGTGCAATGTCTGATACTTTGTATCCTATGTATAATACACTGATACTGGAATATATGATCCACAGTGCAATGTCTGATACATTGTATCCTCTGTATAATACACTGATACTGGAATATATGATCCATAGTGCAATATCTGATACTTTGTATCCTCGGTATAATACACTGATACTGGAATATATGATCCATAGTGCAATGTCTGATACTTTGTATCCTCTGTGTAATACACTGATACTGGAATATATGATCCACAGTGCAATGTCTGATACTTTGTATCCTCTGTATAATACACTGATACTGGAATACATGATACATAGTGCAATATCTGATACTTTGTATCCTATGTATATACACTGATACTGGAATATATGATCCACAGTGCAATGTCTGATACTTTGTATCCTCTGTATAATACACTGGATACTGGAATATATGATCCATAGTGCAATATCTGATACTTTGTATCCTCTGTATAATACACTGATACTGGAATATATGATCCATACTGCAATGTCTGATACTTTGTATCCTATGTATAATACACTGATACTGGAATATATGATCCATAGTGCAATGTCTGATACTTTGTATCCTATGTATAATACACTGATACTGGAATATATGATCCATACTGCAATGTCTGATACTTTGTATCCTCTGGGGCGGACTGACAATTCATGTGGCCCCTGGCAATAGGGGGATCATGGGGCCCCTGTGTCCTTGTCCAAACTCAAAAAAAAGCCTATGAAAAAAGGTACCAGGGGCATCTCATGGGGCCCCCTACTGAACCCGGGCCCTTTCCAAATGGTCAGTCTGCCCCTGGTATACACTGATACTGGAATATATGATCCATAGTGCAATGTCTGATACCTTCTGTACATGTATATGATATGATACACAAACTACAACCAGATCTGTCCATGTATGACCCCCTCCTCCTGACCTGCAGGCACGGGGCTGAGCACCTGGTGACCCGGGCTGTCCGGAGGACTCTGCCCCATTCCGTCCTTAAGGTAGTCCTGGAAGTGCACCTCCCGCAGGCCCAGCCACAGCCGGTTGGTGGTGCCCCGCAGGACCCGTCCGCTCCTCCCGGTGATGCCGGTCACGTAGTCCATCCTCCCCCGGGCCCGGCCCGCACCGTCCACCCGCCGTCCCCGCTCTACACCACCCAGCAAAACTTTCTACAAACTTACTGACAACTTCCCACCGCCGGACCCGCCCACTGCGGGCGGCAACCTGTCACTACAGACCCGCCCCTTTCCTCACTCGGATTCTGTGCCCGGCGTCACACAGCTAACCGTGGGGCACCCCCGCCGGAATAAGTGGGAGAGCCCGCGGGTGCTTTGTTTGTGGACTGGGGGAGATACCACTATGGAACCATAGGGGGAACGATAACATGTTAGATTTCTATGTGTATTTGATTGTTCAGTGAGATAGTGTTCATATATGTACATGTAAACCAAACAGCCAGCCCAACACTTCTAATATGTGGACACCAGCAATCCATACCTCTCTAAGGGCTCGTTCACACTTGGCTGTTTTACCATCGCTTGCCAAACGCCCCCTATAGCGTTTGGCAAGCGTTGGTCCGGCGTTTGCGGAGCGTTTTTTAACGCTCGGCAAACGATTCACAAACGCCGCATGCGCGGTTTAGCAGAGTTTTAAAAATGCCCCACAAATGCCTATAATGCAGTTTGAATGGTGTTACCGCTTCGCAAACGCCCGCAACGGCGTCGCAACCGCACCGCAAACGCTGGCCGGGCATTTGCGGAGCGGCACCATAGACTAGAATAGGAGGCTTCAACGCCTCCTGACTCGACCAGAGGGGTCCGTTTTGCCGCGACGCGAAATGCTCCCGTTAGAACAGCACCATGTGCTGTAATGTGCAGAATTGGCAGAGGCGTTTGGAAAGCGGTAAAAACTATCTCACTGAACATACATTTTTTGGGGAAAAAATAACTTTTCATGAATTTTTGTGTACACAATACTAAATTTTTTTTGTAGAATTTAAAATAAGATGTCACGCCGAGTACATAATTAAAGTGTTACTAAACCCAGGACCCTGAATTCACTATATCTGGTCTCCCCAGACCCTGCATTCACTATATCTGGTCTCCCCAGACCCTACATTCACTATATCTGGTCTCCCCAGACCCTGCATTCACTATATCTGGTCTCCCCAGACCCTGCATTCACATATCTGGTCTCCCCACCCTGCATTCACTATATCTGGTCTCCCACAGTACACACAATTGGAAATTTTAGTAAATATAAACTGCTAAATACCTTTTCTGATCAGCAGTTAGGCTTCGTTCACACCTGCCCGCTTTACAGTGCCTTTCACAGTTCATTTTGCGTTTTTCTACACACGTTTTTGACGCATTTTTACAGCATTTTGCGTTTTGTTCAGTTTTTTTTTCTTATGTAACCACTAGCCTACAGGGCACTTATACCCCCTTCCTGTCCAGGCCAATTTTCAGCTTTCAGTGCTGTCACACTTTGAATGACAATTGCGCGGTCATGCAACACTGTACCCATATGAAATTGTTATCATTTTTTTGAGACAGATAGAGCTTTCTTTTGGTGGTATTTAATCACCTCTGGGTTTTTAATTTTTTGCTAAAATTTTGTAAATAAGTGATTTTTCTCCTTCACTGATGTGCGCTAATGAGGCTGCAGTGATGGGCACTGATAGGTGGCACTGATTGGCACTGATGAGGAGGCACTAGTAGGTGGCACTGATGGGCATTGACAGGCATCACTGATGGGCACTGAAAGGCAGCACTGATAGGTGGCACTGATAGGCAGCACTGACTGGTACTGTTAGGTAGCACTGACTGGTACTGTTAGGCAGCACTGATAGGCAGCACTGACGGGCACTGATAGGTAGCACTGATGCACACTAATAGGCGACACTGACTGGCACTGATTGGCAGCACTGATAGGTGGCACTTACTGGCATTGATAGCTGACATTGACTGGCACTGATAGGTGACAATGAAAGGCATCTCAGATGGGCACTGATATGTGGCATGGATATGCACTGGTAGGCACTGATATGTGGCATTGATGGGGCTATGGCAGGTGGCATTAATGTGCACTGACAGCTGGCATTGATGGGCACTGACAGGTGGCACTGCTGGGGCTACACTGATCATCAGGGCACACTGATCATCATTGCCGTGATTTTCAGCGTACATGTCCCCTCCGAGGAATGCCGATTACCGACTCTCCTCTCCTCATGAGCTGGCAGCGTGACAGCTTGTAAGGAGAGGAATGAAAATAACCAGCATTTCCTTATTTACATGCGATCAGCTGTGACTGGACACAGCTGATCACATGACAGAGCTGAAGTCATCTGCTTTTTCTGCTGATCGGTGATCCGCTGTGTCCCAGGGACACAGCGCACCACCGATTTCCACGCTGCATGCCCCCAAGGGCAGGCATGCGTGGTTTGAGTGGGAGGACGTCATATGATGTCCTCGCAGAATGAGAAAACCGCCGCCCATCCGTCATTTTCCTTATATGGAGGGCGGGAGGCGTTTAAGTGGGATTTTTTTTTTGCTGGGCAGAATAAAAATGCAAAATGCGGCAAAAACACACTGCCATGCCTTTCAGCAGATTCTCCATTGAACTCTATTGTAGTAAAAATGCTGCTTTTTGCTTTTAAAAAAAAGTCCCTGACCCTTTCCAAAAACGCAGCGGCTCAAAAAAGCATAGATGTGAACATGTTCCATAGGAAACCATGCTAAATGGACTGTACTGCATTTCTGCAAAAAGCACTAAAAAAAGTATTGGTGTGAACAGAGCTTTAGAGCAGTCTTGCGACTTTTATCAGTGTCCAGCAGAGCACTGGTTAAAGCTTGTAGGAGGAGTTTTTTTTCTGCTCTAGGAGGATGCAGAATCTCTGACCTCTGTCTTGTCAGTGCTTATTGGCCCTATGCTGATCACATTCACCCTCCCAAGAAGAAAAAAACCCTCTCTAGAAATACACACCAAACTGAGCATGTGCAGAGTGTCTCCACACAATATGTCGTATCAAGAGATAAGAGGGGGGCACTGGAAGAAAGGGAGGATCACAGACGTCAGGATCAAACAGCATTTTCACACAAATGCAAAGGATTAACCCCTTATGTTCTACAGTGAGTATAACAAGCATGCCTTACTGCATATACAGACTGATTTTACTGTTGTGGGTTTAGTAACACTTACTCATTACTTTAACACATAACTCATACTTTAAAATTGCTCACGTCCCTGGAATGGCAACAAACTACGGTACAATAAATTATCCATAGATGACGCTGTAAAGGCCTTTACCAATTATCAGTTTAGCATTACACAGTAGGTCTGGAATGAGAATTATTGCTCTCACTCTGACATTCGTGGCAATATCTCCTAAGTGTGGTGTAATCACCATTTACATATGCATTTTGGACCTACGTGCCCGTAAGCATGGGGGGACGGAGGCACTTTCATTTTTTTTATGTCATTTATTTTATTTCAATTTACTTTGTAACTCTGTACCTTTATTTTTTTTTTAAATCAACCTTATTGCTATCACAAGGCATGAACAACATCCCTTGTAATAACATGGGCCATGACAGGTCCTCTTTATGGAAAGATCATAAACTCCAAACTCATCTCTAGCCAAACTCCAAACCTCACGCTTGTTTTTTACATCCATGTCATGTAAACAAAGAGACAAATGGCACCACTTTTTTTTTTTTCTAAAATAGTAAACATGTTATACTTACCTGCTCTGTTCAGTGATTTTGCACAGAGCAGCCCCGATCCTCTTCTTTTCAGGTTTCCTCCAGCACTTCTGGCTCCTTCTCCTCAAGCAGTGTCCCCAGGAAAAGCCACCCGCCCTAGGGGCACCTCTGCATGCTCTTACCCGAGCTGCTGCTCTATGCGTCCATAAGACACATAGAGCCGTAGTGGTCCCGACCCTGGCTCTCTCCTCGTTGGCTCACTGTATGTATCTGACAGCAGAAGGAGCCAATTGGCTTCCCGTTGTTGTCTCAGCCAATGAGGAGGAAGAGACCCCAGACAGTGGAGGCTGTTGTTTAGAACATCGCCGGATCAGAGGGGGCTCAGGTAAGGATTGGGGGGGCTGGGGACACCTCACACAGAAGGTTTTTTTACCTTCATGCAGAGAATATATGAAGGCAAAAACAATCTTGCGCCTTTAGAACCACTTTAAGGCACTGTTGCCTCTGACTGCGTGTCTCATGAGGTTTGGAGTGACATTTGGTCATGTCACTATGGTGCTGCTCACTATTCTCCTTGCTTGGGGGCTCTGACATTGAGGAAGTAAAAACCTTCTACCAAGATGGCCTCCTCCACACAGAGATGCAGAATAGGGGAAGGCATAATAATGTGGAAAAACCAGCTGCAGAGAGACCACAGGTAATAATGGCAGCTCAACAGTAAAGGTAAGGGTAAGACCAAACAGTAAGGGTTCCTTTATACTACCGCATGCTCCATACAGGCTGGTGTCCATTTAGCCGGGCGGTGAGGGGATGGTGTGAAGCACTGTTTCAGTTGCTCTATGCATACTACAAATCCAATCATTTGTCACGTCAGGGGTGACACATTCATTCTCCATTGTCCACTGTATGGAGCCTTGAATGTAGCCACCGTCTAACAGGAAGTTGGATCACAGCAGCAAAAAACATAATTCGTAGATTTATAGGAGGCTGAGAGCAATGGGAGGGACTTATCTGAGTTAATGCTATATACTTAAATATATGTTTTCAAAACCAGAGTTTAGTTCTACTTTAACGTATTACTAAATCAAGGGACTTGCATTCACTATATCTGGTCTCCTACAGTACACAGAAAATGGAAATGCACATATTTTCATAAATATAAACTGCTAAATACCTTTCTCTGTCAGTAGTTAGAGCAGTCGTGCGACTTCTATAAGTGTCCAGCAGAGCACTGGTTAAAGCTTGTTGGAGGAGTTTTCATTCTCCTCTGATTTTCCTATGAGGATGCAGAACCCCTGAACCTCTGTTTGGACAGTGCTGATTGGTCCCCGTGCTGATCACATGCACTCTCCCAAGAAAAAAAACTTCTAGCAATACACATCAAACCGAGCATGTGCAGGTTGTCCCACCCAGGTTCTGTTCTATCTACAGATGGATTGGAGACAGTAGAAGAAGGAGAGGATCAGAGAAGACAGGATCAAATCCTTTTTACACAATGCAGAGGATTAACCTCTTAGGTTCCACAATGAGTATAACAAGCATGCTTTACTGTATATAGAGACTGATTTTACTGTTGTAGGTTTAGTAACACTTTAAGCTCTGTCCTTACAGGATGGCCTGTGAGGCAGAAAAAGATTGGATAATATTTTAGTACATCAGAAAATTGATTGAGCAATAGCATAGCAGTTGACACCAACAGAGCACCATAGAACAAAGGTGTCTGCTAAATACCATTGTGAATAAAAGCATTTAACATATAAGTCATAGGAAATTTTATGACATTCCACAGATAGGACTCAGCCTTCTAAAATTATATCCAGACATTATGGTGGAAAGCTGGTGTATAGAAATGCAACACAGTTATTTCATCTACAGGCTTCCACAAACCCTTCAATCCTACTGTACAATCTGTTCCGATATTCAGTTAGATATAAGAAAAACAAAGATACATTTTTATATTCTGTTAAAATGTTCAATCTTTTTTCATAGGGATGGTGAAAAATTTGGTGTGACTGAGCATGTATTTTGGTAATTTGTTATGACTGAACATGCCAAAAAAAAAAAAAACAGTGTATGACTACACTGAAGGGCCCATTGAGATCAGTGTGTGGAGGTGCATTTTTTTGTAGCATTAGGAAGGTGTATTGTCTCATCAATTCGCAATTTCTTTTGGTCATGTTTCTGAATTTAGGATTTGGAGTGGATAGGGTTTACAGCCATTGATCAAGGCTTGGTATCCACATGGAAGAAAAATATATTTGAAATATATTTTAAAAATATTCTTCCTAAATATATTGACATATATTTGAAATACTACAATTTTGGCTATATTCAATATATTTCAAAATATATTTCAATAAATGTATATACATACTGTATGTTGAAATGCGTTTTGTATATATTACAAAATATATATAAAATATTTTTTTAAATATATTTTTTAAAATATATTCTTCAGATTTTTATTACATATAAAAAAGTAATTTTAACATATATTTTTACATATATTTGTAAATGCATCTCAACT